AATACAAATTTATTAAGTCAACCGAAAAGTAATCTAAATCTTTCCTTATCTTTCTTGGAGAAAATTTTATACAGCGCGTTAATAAACATGACTTTACTATTCCGACATTTATTAGCAAGTTCAAAGAACATTCGTATTAGCATGTGTTTTTATATCTGAATCCATTAGCATGTATAATAATTATTTCCGTTTCAATAAATAATTATATACATTTTTTTTTTTTTAGCTGAATCAGAGGAAAAAAAAATTAACGTGTCCCAGATTCCACAATAATATCAGTGACAATGCTTGAACAACGAGCGTGGGACGTACTTGCCCCCGCACCGCACCGGTCGTTTCAACTTTCGAGCGTACGAGTATACACCACATTATGTTTCTAATGCAAGTACAGTATACACGCCATTCCGTTGTCACTTTCATCTTTCGTTTCATTTCAAGTGCGTGTGCACTCAGATTCTATGCTTTAGACATCATTCTGATTCCAAGAGGTGAGAGGGGAACGGTCCGTGCCTCGCGTCGCATCGTGTCGTGTCGTGCGATCCTCTGCTCTCAAACTGTGTTGTTTTGTCATCGTCAGTGCACACAAGCGTTTCATTACTTATCATTCTCGATGCCTTATGCCATCTAGCTCTAGGACCATCGACGCGACTCGATGTAATGCAATGTAATGAATCGCGGGATGCTACGCACCTGATCCACGGCTAGTCATTCAGATGCGAAAGGTTTAAGGTCGTCTGACAGTGACAACGACGACACAACATCGACGACACAGTTTAATCCAGTGTCTGGTCAAGTCCAGTTTAGTCGGCGCGGTACAGCCGCACGGCACGGCTCACTCGCACCTCAAGGTCTCAAAATCTCCTACTAATCTCGACGTGAACGTCAACCTCAACCTCAACCTCAACCTCAACCTCAACCTCCATCGAGTCAAGTCTGAAATCTCAGTTCATCTCCACACGCATTCACGGTACGTTGAAGCGAGAGTGACTGCTTCGACAAGACTGAAAGCATTGTTTACGATCAATGCTGGACAAACCAAAGTTCAACGCCGAAAACACGTTTATCTAATCCGGTTTCACGGTTGTTCGCGTCGATAAACACAAACAGTAATCCATTGGTGTTAACCAGTATCGTCAGCCTTCTCGGTTTGCGTTGCGTAATGTATATGTATAATCGACGTGATCACCAGATGGAGACGAGAAAATGAGATCGACGATACGTACGCTGCTATCGCATAACGGAATCGATAGACTGTGATCGGAAAAGTGTCATCGAACAATTTTCCTTTGATGCGTCGCGAGAACAACTGATTCGTATTCTGTGATTGGATAGAAAGTGTGAAAGCCATTCATCGTTTATAGTTTATCGTATAATGCCCGCTCAACTCAGCAAGTTCGTCCTGAACGCGTCCTGCAAGGACTATTGTCACCCATGGACAAACTCCTGTCTCACCGCGACGACCGGGCTCGGTTTGCACGCACTTCAAGAAAGCCTCAGGATATACTCCACCGTTTATTTAGTACGTTCATCATCGGTTTACTTTTATCTTTTGAATTTCGTATTTTCTCTCGTTGATAGATTTACGTTTACAATAGTCGTGTCAACAACATTTTTTAAATTGTCTGCGTTATACTAGGGACTTGGTAATCGAACGAATCACATTTTTTTTCTTTTTTTTTTTCATTCGAGGTACAAATGTATTCCGTGTCAAGTTTTCAAATATTTTTCTTTCGTATATATTTCATTTACATCTTTTTCCTAGGTCGCACTGTTATTGAGGGGGAAATTCCCATCTAGGAAAGATGTCAGGAAAACATTCACAGATACGCTACAATCTGTAGCTTTTCTCTCGTGGAGCGCCTTTTCCTATCCTATGTTCATTTGCTTCCTGAGGTACGAAAAGTCAATGCCAATTTTTTTAGGTATGACTTGCAGACAATATACTATGGCTAATTAATTATTTACAATGAAATCTATTAAATCATGTCGATAAAGAATCACATTATCTTCATCAATTTTACGTATTTCAGAAGGCTGCTTAGAAACTTTAACTTTCTGACGGTATCTTTTCTACCATCGTTTTTATCCAGTTTAACAGCTATTTTCGTTGAAAGACCATCCAGACGTACATTGCTATGTTTATACGTATCTAACATTGTGAGTAAACTGGACTTAATATTATAATGTAATGCGTGCAGAGCCTCTTAATGGTTCGTATTATTTAACATGGTTAAATTATATATATACAAAATTTCCTATTCTGCATCATAGGAATTATCAGGAATACAATAATTGGGCTAAATTAAAAAATTATCTTTTATATTCATTCTTTTTAGGCTACAGAAACATTGTTTAGAATGGGTCAAGCCAGAGGATATTATTCTTCTATTCCTAGGGGAGATACATATATTTTTTCTACCAGTGTGGCATTATTGCTTTATTATTTCCGTTCGAAATCGAATAAACACGATTCGGTGTATAAAATATTTAGGTACTTACTGCAATTTTGTACCACTTGCATAATTTTGAAATAGTTTAAAAATCATTTCAAATCTTTGTCAGATTTGTTATTGGAAAATACGAAGGTATTGATTACATTAAAAAAAACACCTTACAATCTCCCACGTTAAAATGTTCTACCGATGAGTCTAATATGAGGAGTTCAAAGAAAAAGAATAAAAAACCTAAAAAGTCACTCGAAAAGAATATATTCCTAAAGTCTCTCGCAACATACAAGAAGATTATCGAAAATCTGAAAGATCTAGGGAAACACGCGTCCTGTCCACATTCTCATAGTTGTCTTCGTTACACGCTGGTGGTATGTATTCTACATGGATGAAACATTGTATTGCCATTGTACTTACGAATGTTGCGATTTCTAAGAATGCTAACAATAATTATTCTCGTTTGCAGGGTGGTATGAAATGCTTTAGTTATGGTCTTAGTGTTCAATTAGGACTCAATTTGGTATTACAATTTCAAAAGATACTTAAAAGACCACAGTCGATCAAATCTATAATGTTCAAGAGAAGCAACCTCAACTTGGCTGTGTTCTTAGGTGGTTTCTCAGGCCTTTATAAGGTACGAAAATATTTTATTACCTTCAAACGTTTCATGTGATATATATATATATATATATATTATCAAATATAATTCGTTTCCAATAGGTACGGATTGTTGTACAACACAGAAACGTTTCGAATCAAGTTCTCGTTAACTTACCCTGTACATCAATGTGTTATACTTGATCGTATATAATATATGTAAATTTAAAACTAGTTTCAACCATCCGTATGATTATAACTCACTGATGGACGTTGTATTTAGTGTAATTTTTGTTCTAGCTATTGTCTTGTTCATTGAGGAGACTTTTCCAGAAAGATTCTTCCCATTACGCGTTTCCAGCTGGATTCATAAGTGGTCTAGCATTCATGTCTTACGGTGGTAATACCATAGCATTATACTTTATGTGGAAAGCATTGCAGGTACTTGTGTTGGACAAACGATACTGTCGCTTGAAGCATTTGTTGCCTTCATCGTATACATAGATATCTATTTCATTTTATTTTATTATTTTATTTTGTACGATGTTGCTTTTTTTTCTTTTTTTAGTTACTCTGGAATGATCTTGTGGAAAAGCAAATAGTACCCGAGGTGAAATGGTTTGTGATTTTCCTGTACTGTTTTAGTACAGCGGTACTCTTCCATGTAGCGATCATTGAACCACAAAATTTGCGTCCATCTTATTGGAAGTTCTTATGCAACATATCCGGAGATAGGTAATGAATATGGTAGTACGTGTACTTTGTATAATATATTATCTTATTTTCTGTGTTCTTTCTTTTTTTTCTTTTAGAATAGCAAACATGTCTCGAATACCAATAGATCAATTTGGTTTAGAAACTAGTAAACATTTAGAAAAGGTGCTTGTGAGAACCAATACCAGCAATAAAAGGGCTTATATATTTTAATATTATATTTATTTTCCAAGAAGAATCTGTCAAGTCTTTATTTTGAATATCTATCATATACTATAATACTATTTGGAACACGTACACTGAACAGGCCAAACACCAAAGGGATGTACGAATTTAATTGGTTCATATTTGCAACATTGCAAGTCTACTTATTATACGCCAAATGATCATTTTATAACACAAGGGTACTATTGATATCAGGGTTCTGTAGTATGTGATAAGTCAGAATTCTTAAACTACGATAAATCTCTATGTTGTAAATACATGTATATTTTATGACAACTTAATATATAATTTCTGTACACTTGTGTAAGTAGAGTATACGCAAAATGAAAATTTTGTTTAAATATAGGTATTTTGGAATACTAATGTGTAGTATACATATTCTCTTGCGTTGTAAATATTTGTAAAAGCATTTACAGGGTGAACTGTAAAATATGTTCGATGTATACAATGTTGTATATTGCAGTTAATATGAAACTTTTATATTAAGACATTTTTTATAGAATTGTATAACTTATTACAGTGTAAAAATAAATTGTTGAGTTATCCTTCTTTCCGTGTTTTTATACTTTCAACAAATAGTAACAGCTAAAATTATAATATGTATATAAAATGCGATAAAACACGATGCACTATTTTTGTTTCCTAGCAATTTCCAGCGCCTTATTTACCATGACATCTGTACTTCTTTGTTCATGCTTTCTTTTTAGACGTTTCTTTTTTCTTAAAACGTTGTCCCAGTTAATTTGACTTTCCTTTTTGAGATCCTTGCTATCTAAAACTCCGGGTATAATTTCGGACTCCGAGATCGAAATGTATCGGTGTGAGACAGTCCTCAACGGTTTTAGGATTTTCATGGAATCTACTTGCCATGGAAGTAAACCAATTGGACATACTGCCCATTCGTAATTACCTAAATAAAATATTTCAATCATCATCATCATCATCGTTTACTTATTTATTCAATAAAAGCAAACTACACGCCTACCGAACATAGATTTCCATTGACTATTTCGCACTCTTTGATCCGTGAAAAAAAGAGGCGTTATGCTTTTGGATTTGCTTTTTTCAATTACGTTTGGTGCATGACGTTTATGTAAAGTCTGAACGTCCTCTACAGTGAAAGCTGTGTAATCCTTGTTGGAACTTTCACCGACGGTTGTTCGTCTCTCTGCATAAATTTTCACCAAATTCAGCAACATCTGTTTTTTCGTAGCATCTATCTTGGGACATATTAATTCCAAGATAGGTGATATAAATGTAATAGAGTATTCATTTGCATTTAACAAAAGTTTCGAAACAAAGTTCAGATCGGTTAAAATTGGCAATACCGCACCAGATAAATTGAACCATAAAACATGTTTCAAGTGTGGATAAGCATTTTCAGTTTCTTCCATCACCTTCATTTTAAATGCTCTTGGCGGTAATCTTTTCCCAGTCAAATCAAACTTGTACTCTAAAGTACGTGATATACAGTGAGCAATATCTAATTTCACAAAACCATAGGCTATCGAACTTATCCATAGCGAAGCGAATAATCTCTTATGTTTATCTACTTCTTGATCGTTTATTAATCCAAGTAAACCCATGATCAAAGTCTCCATCATTCTGTTCTCGTATAATAGAAATATAATATCTTTCCAGAATTTCAACATATCCGATGGCAAAATGTCATTTTTTAATTCATTTTCAGTATTTTCTTGTATGAAAATAAATAAAACATCTTTATTTGGTAAGAAAGCTTCCGATTTAAAGAGTTCATCGCAAACTACATCCTTTTTACTAGGATCGGATTTTTTACTGAAATATCTAGAAATCTCAGATAAAAGAACCATTCTAGCGGTCTCTAATGTATATTCTTCGCCTGTTCTTATATCATCGGTAGCCAGTTTTTCATAACCATTGTTATAGTTTTCTACGTTCTCGTTACCTTGTTGCTCGAACAGAGAGATGACATACGAATGGAGATCTTTTAAAGTTTCCCTATTCAAAACAATTAATTTATTTAATAGTTATAGCATATTATGAATTCTTTATGGACAAGAGTTTTTATACTTACACCAATTCAGAATCTGGAATATCCCCTACTAAATGGTATCCAGCATGAATGTATAAACTAACGGAAGTCCAAAGTTCAATTAAATCGCTAAATTCTTGAATTTCTTCATTTTCTTGAGCTTCTTTCACAGACTCCTCCATGACAATACACTCTTCCAATCTGTTGGCTTCGGCTGCCCAATATTCTTCCTTTAAGTATAATACAGTTGGTCAAATGGTAATACAATTCTCTATATAGATTTACAAAAATATACAAAGTACGTAAAGAGATAGACTTACATGTAGCCATGTTAATAATATATTTATAGCTATTCTTAACACACCGATGGACGGCAACTCGTGCCCGTGAGCAGTATCGTGTCTCAAGTTCACAATCCATTCTGGGATATTTAGCTGCTTTGCAATCTGAAACAAGGATGTTTGCTTCGTGTGCCCTATGTTAGCGATATGATTTAAGAATCTCATTATCGTAGTTGAATACATTAAACATAAATCATTTTCATAACTAATCTGCAATTCCCCGTTATGTATCCTAGGAGTCCATTCAAGATCTCTAAGACAGACTTGCATGATAGAGAGGGTACAGTCCACGCCTACCGGCAATTTTGGCATCCTAAAGTTCATTCTGTTAATATACGATTACTATTCCAGACTATTTTAGCAAAGTATTTGCTGCTATTATTACCTTGCTTTCCATGCTAATAGAGTTTCATATGCCTTGGTTTGCTCAGTTTTGTTGTTTGAATATACTTGCTGATACACTTGGTGCCATTCGATTCTAAACATAGAAAGAGATAACGGTAAGTAATATTTTTACGGTTTATTTTTCGTCGAAGATCTCTATCAAATTTCCAAAGCATTTCATGTAAATAAAAATACAATTTCCTAAGCACGTGTACTTAATTAATGTAACAATATCAGGTAATACCACCCGACAGTTATCGCGTTAGACGAGGATCGTCACTGTTTTTATGATGTACGTGCACTTACAGTGAAAACCATGGAACTTGTTTCCCACTTTCCAGTTTTAGGGAAAGCGCCATAGTAAACCACGTGCAATTACAGTCATACGCGTCTTGTTGCTTAATTTAACTGAACAGACGTTGCGCTGTGTTGATCGGTTGAAGAATATACGTGCATGTACGTGTATTGAACACACACGTACGAGGCTACGTTACGTTACGGAAGCAACAGAAGTGTCGGTTACAGTCGCAGATCCACACGGGCTCGAAGCTTGAGAGACTGACAGAACCTAGAACTGTAAACTTTACAGTTAAGTAAAGTGGAACGCGCGAGGAGAACAGCTTAACAAACGCGTTAAAAATATTCTAAAATATGACCAGACAAATACGAATGGTATTGATAGATCTTAGTGGTACTCTGCATATTGATAGCACAGTGATTCCTGGCGCTGTGGAAGCCTTAACCAGGTTGTTCTTCTCTTTATATGTACATTTCACTCTATTGCGCCATATTCCTTTTATTGGCGCGATATACGTAATATAGGTAATCGTAATCGCATCGGGGCACAGATATTTAAATAGAATAGAATATTTTGTATTCGTTAAGATGATTAAATGTTGTTTGTTACAAGTTGAAAAAAAGAAACAGCAATCATGCTATGAATTTTCAAAACAGGCTTAGAAGTGCTAATATACCATTGAAATTCGTTACAAATACAACGAAAGAGTCCGGTAACTGTCTACACAAACGATTAAACAGCCTTGGTTTCGATATACAGAAAGAGGAAATCTTCAGCTCTTTAGCTGCCGCAAAGAATTTAATCATTGAAAGAAAATTGAATCCACTGTTGTTGATCGATCCCGCAGCCAATGAAGATTTCGATGGTTTAATAAAAAATGATCAGAAAGCAAACGCGGTGGTAGTTGGATTAGCACCGGATAAATTCCACTACGAGGAATTAAACAAAGCTTTTAGGTATGCTTTGATTATTTTTTGTCACACAACACATGATCGCTATTACATTTTGCATTAATATAATACTACTAAATAAATCTGTAAGATTAGATTGTTGTTAGATGGTGCTCCGCTCATAGCAATTCATAAAGGCAGATATTATAAACGGCCGGACGGTTTAGCTTTAGGACCGGGTGCATTCATTTCTGGTTTAGAATATTCCGCCAATGTTAAAGCTGAAGTTGTCGGCAAACCAACCGCGGAATTTTTTAAAGCAGCATTAGCCGGTGTACCTCCGGAGGAAGCTATTATGATCGGCGATGTAAAGAATTTACATATACATGTGATACTGTAATGTTTATGATACCACCTCTATCGATGATAAGATATTAACAGAAATGTTTATTGATTTAGGACGTCAAAGATGACGTAGCTGGAGCGCAAACTATTGGTATCAGGGGTCTTTTGGTGCAGACAGGAAAGTATAGAGAAGGAGATGAAAATACAATTATACCACCACCCATGAAAATATGCAGCTCCTTTATGGAAGCTGTGTCATATATTTTGGAGGAGAAGGATTAGGAATCGCGAGAATCATTATTTGAACAATGATAAGTGTAGAATAAATGAATATTCTGTATTAAATTAGATGTTTTATTTAAATATTAATAATCCCACAATGGTGTATACATGATCTGGAGTAGTTTCACGATATAGCAGTTTCAAAATAGAAAGCAGATGGTAATTACAAAGAAACCCCGTTATGATATGAAACATATAACATACAAATTTACTTCTGTTCTATTAATATTACCGACAAAATAACTTTTATAATACTATCCTCTTGCATACTACATACGTATATTGTAATGACAAGTAGATGAAAACAGAGGATATTTGGAATTTTCAACGGATATCGTCTCATCGGGTGATCTCAGCTGTAAAAAAGTTGTAGAAAATTTCATCTACTGTTAGGTGATAATACACTTTATAAATTATGATTTATAAATTAGAAATCATTCTTATCGAATCCAGATCTTTCTAGACGAGAGACGATATTTTTCTAAAATACTTATCTCCTTCTAAAAGACAGGAAAAAATAATCGTTGTAAATCTGAATTGCTACAAATACGTGGCCTTAGATAATACAAGTATATTATAACTACCGTATTTAATAAGTTATTATTATTAAGAGCATGTTCACAGAAACAGATCCTTTTTGTCTTGCTTTAAAAGGAGGAATTGGTGCACTGCAAGAATTTCCATCGGTATAAAATTTGGCACCATTCTGCAATCGTTTCGTTCTGTATGCAAGGACCGACAAACTTTTCGCATTCGAAACATGTTCAATGTCCGTCACTAAAAAGATGCGAGGGGTGTACAATTAGTTTTGATTTCACAAGTTTAAATTCGCATCTCAACAGAGTAGTCGCAAGTTTCTCTTTGTTCTTTCGTTTAAACGTTATACATTAATACTTCCATCAATGAACAATGTTATTTCTTTAATGAGGAAGGCTCAGTTATAATTTTTATGAATACTGTATGAAATGCATGACTTGTATCTAAAAGTAACATAATATTACCTATGCGCGTGAAACAGCTATAAACGGTAGAATGAAAATCTTCACGATTCTCTATCGAATCAGCTAAAATAATAGGCAAAAATTTGTAATTACAATGCAAACAAAATAACTTTACTTTTCTTCGACGCATTTTGCACAATCGAGCAAAATGACTTTACTCATTTCCAGTTAATGCTTAAAAAATACAATACATTCGCGTTGCGTCTGACATTAGAAAAATAAAACATGGTTAACATTTACGAATGAACATTATAAATATATAATTCAAAATGCTGGTCACTTTTCGCAAAATATTTTCTATGATTATGCATCGCAACGATATAACTTACAATTGATATTATTTCAATAAGGACCGGTACGCATCAGCTCATTAATTGAAATGCCCTCTACAACTTATAATCTATGATCAGGCACATGTTCATTTCCTGTCGCGTTAACGAGGGTCATTCGTCTTCTATCTTTTTGTTTGCTTTTTTTATGAAAATACATATTTCAGTTAAAATGAACTAATTAAATGAAAAAAAAACATACATAGAATGCTTAATTTACAAACATAAAGACATGAATCAAACTTAACTATAAAATGTACAAATTTTTTTTTGGTAGCCACATGTTCACATAATTAACGTTGTCATTGGCTCGAGAGAAGAACTGAATCGGAGATGTCTAACAGATTCGTAATTCACTGACTGTAGAAGAAAAATAAGCGGCAATAAACCATATCATTATATTATAAAACACCTATAACAAAAGCTGAGCAAAAAGGTAAACTTGCGGTACGCGGCATATTATAATGTAACAATGGAATAGTTTCTATTTGTTTCTATGTCATTTCGATAACACAAAAATTATAACATTTAGGGCCGTATCAATAAAGAACAGTATATTTCTCTTCTTTTCTCTCTCTCTCTCTCTCTCTCTCTCACGCGCGCGCGCACGCACACACAGAGCCACACTCACTCGCTCACACATTCATTCTTTTTCTTTTGAATAGAAAAGTCAAGCGTTTATCCCAATTACATGGAACTGGTGTAAAAGCTTTAGTTTTCGATAGAATTTTATTTACACAGCCCATCACCATAATTAGGGAACATTACCTACACTCGCATTCATTATGTACACAATTTGTTGAATTCTAGTAAAGTGAATATTTTTTTAACAAAAGATCAACTACGTACTCTTCATTCTTCTTCTCTTTTATCTGTCACAGATTGTCTTCCAAGATCAAATTCTGTCAATATAGCTATATCTGTTTATTCGACAACTATATATCATACTTAAACTTTTCTTTTCTTATGAAACATTTTTATATATTTTGTAAATACAAATTTAATTAATGGAAGTTCCACTAGAGACAGAATTTGACCATATTGTAACGAAGACAGGTATATTAGATTGTTTCTTTCCTATGTTACTGACAGGAAATATTGAGAACTGTTAATTTGGCTGTTTAAATGTAATTTGATTAATAGTAAATTGACATTTTCTTCTTCCTATAATAGTTTGCTTCTTTCTTTACCATAACAAGGCAGGCGTGTGGAGTACTATTGACAAATATTAATTTCATTTTATTTGTTTGTTTAATAAATACATAATGAATTTCTCTATCTGTTTTATTCATTTGAATCAAAAAATTAAATATACTAATAGCTATAAATTACGAGATACGTCTACATGGTAGTAACACAGAAAAATTTGAGAAGCATTGTGTGAATACGATGGCGTTTACACAAAAAACGAAATTAAGATTTCCTGGGCCATAATAGGATCTGCCCCTCGATTTTGTGCTTAACCTTCCTCGCCGATACTTTTGAAATGGGAAGACAATAAATGGCTGACGACATAAGCATATAATACTATACACCCAGGTACAAAAGAAACATATTATATATATATATATCTCTAAAAGCAGACCTAACTGAAATCAGCATTCCACCGCATTTCAGGGATAAGTTTGGCCTCAGGACATAAATATACAAACATGAGCAACTCATGCTAATACTTCCACACATTATTGCCTCTGAGCGCATTCAGTATCAAGTACTCTGTATGTTACTTGGCTTTAATTCATCGTCCGATGTGACGTTCAACGAACCATCCGTTAAAAGTCGATCGAACATCTCATGAAAAGGAGGTAACGTAAAGTGCCAGACTCTACAACTACTCCATATCTCTCCAGTTACTCTAAAATTCGATTTTTCTTATAGAGAATAATTGTCTCGATACCTAACTAACTAATAATAAACACATACTTACCTTACCATAGTGAAAAACCAGGCACACTTTAGAGATTCCTGTTCTGATGTACTCAGTCGTAACTATTTGACAGGCCGGTAATGAAACGTCAAGTCTGCCGAACTCTTCCAAATTAAATGCCTTACCTAAAAATACAAACAAAAATTTTGTAGAAAAGAAATTGATTATTATAACAATACTAAAGATTATTTCAATTGGAAGTCAAATGATTACTCGAACATTTACCGTTCTTAAATCCATAGAAAGATCCAAAACCTGATCGTTACATAGAATTTCCACCTTTTCTTCGGCCAGCGAAGAATTATCAGCGTTCGAATCCGTATTTGCTCTATCCCCAGCCGGAGAACCACCAGAAACTGTATTTCCAGTGCCTGCTACTGATCCTGAATCACTTCCTGCACCAAGCACCTTGTCGCAAACATGCTCCGCCACCTTACGAATTTGTATAAAATCGTTGGCGATTAAACGATCCCTTGAAAGATAAAAACACAGGAATATAAGAAAACTTTATTATGTTTACGCCAATAGTTACATACTTCTTCAAACTCTTTACACCAGATGTGGCATGTGGAAGGAGGTAAAAAGGTATTTTAATAAATTGTGGAAGATTCTTATCCACAACAATATTGACCACCCACGCTGGTACAGTTTCATTTAATAATCCTCCTTCTGTTTCTCCTGCAGCATCTCTAACTAGTAACCTATACAAAGTTTTTCCTCCCACTTCGCTACGATGTAAAAAGATTTATATATATATATACATATACATATATTGTTAACGATACAAATTATGTTCGAATTCAGTGAATGATATCTTATTAACTAACGTATACCTAAATATAAGAGGTGTGTGACTAGGTACTGAAAAGTATGGATTTCCTCCCCTCGTATGTATAGGACCATTACCATCGTTACTACTACCTTCATTCTCATCATCAGCATGCAACGGTCTCCACCAATGCTCGAGTAAAGCTTGCAGCAAAAGATTTCCATAATTCACTGAAATAGAAAATCTTCTTTAAGGGAAAAACACACACAGAAATGACAATATTCCTACTTCTAGAAAGAATGTTACCTTTTTGATCAACAGCATCATTTTCAGCGAGGCCAGTTTCCTTTGCAGAGACCCATGCAGAAAAACAGTCGTTTTCATCTTGACCTAAATGAATGGTTAACATCTACAAGAATAAACAAGCATGCAAGATTACTAATTACGTATTACAGTTCTCTCAATTTGAACTGTCCTAGCAAACGATAGAAATGCTTACTCCTGTTTTAAGATCGACATTGAACCAATTCGGAACGTATACCATTTTATTTCTTTTCTTTATTTCCTGTTCAAAGTCTACTTTTCCTAAATCTTCAACTTTGCACGCCTTTAATACATCGTACAAGGCTACATTCTCTTCTGTATCTTTCGTCAAAACGTGTCTACGATCGTTTAAAACATGACAATGCCTTATCGCGGGTCCACCCAATATTCTTTGTGCAGGTTCCGTGTTACGTAAAACATTTGAAGACACTCCGGTAGCTGAGTCGCAGTAATCACCAATTCCTGAGTCCTGCCAATCTTTTTGACTTATAGTCTATTACAAAGTATTACAACACTTAGTTACTCGTATCGTTAAAAAAATTCATGTTGCACGTGCAGAGTATGAAAATTTGTTACCCAATTATTTATAGTCGATTCGCTGGTTGCCACCCAAATGCTAGACTGGTCAGGCATCATAACCATCTTTAGTATAGGTGCTTGCTCTTCACATATAACGGTATACCTTTCGGGATAACTTAATTCAGTCATTACAACTCTTTTATCCCTTCCCCCTGATAACACATGGCTGAAGGAATCTGTTGCCTGTAAAAATCTTATTGTGAGTTTAGAGAACGTACTAACCTCACAAAATTTATTACGCGAAAAGGTTAATGAAAATTACCAATAAAGCCCAAACACCTTCTGTGTGTACTCGAAACGTTTGAATACATCTTTGCTGTCCTAACGACCAAAGTTTAATAGTTCCGTCGGAACTTGCCGACAAACACTCGCTTCCATCTCTATTTAATACTAAAGCTTTAATATTATCCGTGTGACCACGAAGTTTCATCAATTTGTTACAGTGTCTCGGATCCCACACTCTCAAAACTTTTTCTGTGCTTCCGCTTACTATAACTGTTCCAGTCTGATTCATGGCAAGACTGTATATTGAATCTTTGTTTCCGCTAAGCGACGATGCTGTAAACAACATTGTTAATTAAAAACTAATAAAATCGCGGCAATAAATGACTACTTAATAACCATATGGTTACTTGTTACTGTGTTGTTGCTAGCTGTAAGGGCAGTCAATGTATTAACGTCCCACAGGAAGATCAGTTTATCTAAACCTGCACTAGCCACTTGCTCTCTATCTTTAGCATAAGCTAAAGCTTTCACATAGTCCTTGTGTGTCCTTAACGTGGACATGCAAAAGCCTTTATGCGCATTCCATACCTTTACTGTTGTATCAGAGCTGGCTGATATCACTGTAAAGGAATAAATTTATTGATCTTTTATTCATTCAAAGTAATTAAAGTATAAATCAACTCCTTCTTAAGAGTGGAAGAGTAAACAGAATTAGTTTACTTTGGTACAACTAAATAATACGTACGATTTTTGCCACCACAACATAATACTATATCATTCACCCAATCTGTATGATGTTCCATTGATTGAATATATGGGTCCTTCATATTTTTGCAATTCCATATTCTTATAATACTATCTCTACCCGCGGAATAAAGCCTATGCAAAGCTGGGTCGTATTGTAAGGAGTTGATTCCAGCTCTGTGTCTCTTCTCCACTTCGTCTCTTATAACCATGGACACCTTTATCGATAAATGAGTAAGAAACATTAGAATTAAAATTTTTTAATGGATTTTACATCGAAAGGATAGCTTTTAAGTCCTACGTTGGTTAGACATTTTTTATATCTCATTTTTTACCCTCTTGTATGGTTGTACTAATTGCGATTTATAAACATTACCAAATAAGGTTGTAAATATGCAGGTAAAAATATAATGACATAACTTTTCTGCAAATGGAATTGGAGAACAGTTGATTTGATTCATATGAGAGATAATAACAAACAAACTGAAAAAGAAGTATGAAGAAAAAAGAAAAGGACAAAGAAAATGAGAAAGAAAGGAAAGAAGGAAAGAAGGAAAGAAGGAAGGAAGGAAGGAAGGGAGAAAAGAAAGAAAGAAGCAAGACTGGAAGACGATAAATTTTGCTAGAGAAAATAAAATATTTAGGACATGCACCTGGACTTTCTTTCGGGCGCTCTGCCCGCCCGTCTTATGAGCTGCCATTACACCGCAAATTGTTCCTCGAGCACAATGATAATTGAGGAAAACATTCAGATCGAACGATTATGCTGGGGCTGATCCACGTTGCGACGCGTCGCGACCACACACCAGTTTCATCGTAAATCACTTGCGATCACGAGCTCGTACGAACGGTGCGTACGGCTGCGCTTTTGAATCTCGGAAAAAATAAGTCAACGCGCATCACGGTCAGACGTTGAACAGCTGTCAAGCAATTTCTGATGGCGGTTGTTCATTCACGCTCATAACGAACGAACTACAGACATTCGGTACTTGTTTCAATGCCGGTGTCAATACGCTCGAGAATACGTTACACGTACAACGTTACATCACGTTTCTCGAGCGTCCGACAACCTTCCGACTCCATTGTTATGATTACGAATAGAATACCGAGACGTATGCCGTTGCTTGGCGTTATGCTGAAACACTGTGGCTCCTCTGCGCCGGTATATAATCACGTTATCACGGGCTGATTACGATTTCTGTAGTGATACGCGCGGTCTCCGCCGCGAATTATGTATATGCGCGAGTCTATGAGTTTTCGAAAGTCGGGTGAAGTCGGTATGTACATTTCAATAATTCTGTAGTCGATGCTTGTGGCCAATAGCCGAACGAGATGCGCGTCTTGTGGGCTATCGTAACGGCTGCATTGCGCGGCCAATCAAAAATAATGAATGTGTTGCGTCTTGCGTCTCGATACATCCATGTATCGGATCCAGAATGCATAATTACAATTGCAAATTGCCTGTAAGTGAACACGTAACATAAGTAAGTACATAATGTATGTACATGTATATTCACATGTGTATGCACATTTGTACATACATTGCATTTATATTTTGCTATTTCGACTGAAATATCTTATTGCCGTTTTTGCTTTCACTCTTTTAATGTCGATTGAAAAGGTGAGTACGATAAAGATATACATCAAATAGAATTCCAATTAAGCGATCAATACTTTTAATCAGCGATTTACATTTAACGATTAATTCTTTTAGTTGACGTAAATAAATATTTTATTTAATTACTCTCATACTGTACATGTGTACTTGACATGTATGCAATATTTTTGGGGAAGAGTACAAATATGCAAAGGTTTTGGAACACCCACGAATCGTACATGTTCAATTCAAGTAAAAAATTGTAAGAGGTATCGTCATTTTTTCAAAATTCATCAACAAATCTATATGATGCAACATTTAAAGTTTTGTTTAATTCTGTAAATTTCTGACCTGTATACAGTACATTTCTGTAATCCAGTCAGTGAGATGTTTGTAGATACGTAACTAGAGGGCGTCAACTTTATAGGAAAAAAATGGAGGCATTTTTGTGACTGCCATCTGTAAGCTATCTGCATGCTTGGACGAACTAAAATTTAATATGGTTGCCTATCCACATTTGCATTTGATGGACTGTGGGTAGACCATGTGCCGACGCGACACCATTCCCGCCATTCTAAGCAAAGTCAAGCTAATCGCAAACGAACCAGCGAATAGATATAATGGACATAAGCAATAAGTCATACTTATTTTTATTTCCCATAGTCTCTTATATCTTTATAATAGTATTTAAAGTACACGTATTTTCGTTTTAGATTCTTTTAGATTGATCCATTCTATCATCGACAATGTAGCAGCGAGAACATCGGAGCCGCTGTCGAAATTCGCGACCTTTTTCACGAACTTTCTATACATATGTAACTGTCACGTACACGCATACATACTAAGTATGTACGCAATGTAATCGATGTGATGTACCCAGCCTTTACAGACTGACTGTATGCAATGTTAAGAGTGTTTCAAAACTCATCGAGGCTCCAGCTAGCGAGAATGTTCTCCACTACAGTGATACTTCTGTTTCTCCAAAACTCTCCGGCCACAGCACGCTCCGTTAGCGAGAATAGAAGTAGAAATTGCTTTGCTATGATTGGCTGTCGATCCAATGCTAAGACAGAATTCACTGCGGATTGGCTGCACAGTAAAATAGTGGGGATACCAGGCGCTTGCTTAGAGGGGAAGAAAAATGTGCAGGAGTTGTGAGGTATGTATCACTCTGTATGTAGTACAGTTACGTATGCATCGCGTATAAATTTGTGTNATTACAATTGCAAATTGCCTGTAAGTGAACACGTAACATAAGTAAGTACATAATGTATGTACATGTATATTCACATGTGTATGCACATTTGTACATACATTGCATTTATATTTTGCTATTTCGACTGAAATATCTTATTGCCGTTTTTGCTTTCACTCTTTTAATGTCGATTGAAAAGGTGAGTACGATAAAGATATACATCAAATAGAATTCCAATTAAGCGATCAATACTTTTAATCAGCGATTTACATTTAACGATTAATTCTTTTAGTTGACGTAAATAAATATTTTATTTAATTACTCTCATACTGTACATGTGTACTTGACATGTATGCAATATTTTTGGGGAAGAGTACAAATATGCAAAGGTTTTGGAACACCCACGAATCGTACATGTTCAATTCAAGTAAAAAATTGTAAGAGGTATCGTCATTTTTTCAAAATTCATCAACAAATCTATATGATGCAACATTTAAAGTTTTGTTTAATTCTGTAAATTTCTGACCTGTATACAGTACATTTCTGTAATCCAGTCAGTGAGATGTTTGTAGATACGTAACTAGAGGGCGTCAACTTTATAGGAAAAAAATGGAGGCATTTTTGTGACTGCCATCTGTAAGCTATCTGCATGCTTGGACGAACTAAAATTTAATATGGTTGCCTATCCACATTTGCATTTGATGGACTGTGGGTAGACCATGTGCCGACGCGACACCATTCCCGCCATTCTAAGCAAAGTCAAGCTAATCGCAAACGAACCAGCGAATAGATATAATGGACATAAGCAATAAGTCATACTTATTTTTATTTCCCATAGTCTCTTATATCTTTATAATAGTATTTAAAGTACACGTATTTTCGTTTTAGATTCTTTTAGATTGATCCATTCTATCATCGACAATGTAGCAGCGAGAACATCGGAGCCGCTGTCGAAATTCGCGACCTTTTTCACGAACTTTCTATACATATGTAACTGTCACGTACACGCATACATACTAAGTATGTACGCAATGTAATCGATGTGATGTACCCAGCCTTTACAGACTGACTGTATGCAATGTTAAGAGTGTTTCAAAACTCATCGAGGCTCCAGCTAGCGAGAATGTTCTCCACTACAGTGATACTTCTGTTTCTCCAAAACTCTCCGGCCACAGCACGCTCCGTTAGCGAGAATAGAAGTAGAAATTGCTTTGCTATGATTGGCTGTCGATCCAATGCTAAGACAGAATTCACTGCGGATTGGCTGCACAGTAAAATAGTGGGGATACCAGGCGCTTGCTTAGAGGGGAAGAAAAATGTGCAGGAGTTGTGAGGTATGTATCACTCTGTATGTAGTACAGTTACGTATGCATCGCGTATAAATTTGTGTGTGTGTGTGTGTGTGTGTGTGTGTGTGTGTGTGTATGTATGTATGTATGTGTATGTATGTGTATGTATGTATGTATGTATGTATGTAATTTCAGCCAAAAGGACTGCATCCGCCTCCGGTGTTCCCGTTCTGTCCCGTTCCCATGATAGAGGCGAAAGACGAAAGTTGTCGTTGTCGTTGTTCCTCAGTTGAGCTCCGCCATTTTCCTTAGTTGAAGTGAACGTTTCTGTTTCTGATCGTGGGTTAATAAAACGGTGTTGTTCTGGATAACACGTATATACGCGTAAACGTATTCTTACATTGCTGGTTCGATCGATCTCATCGACATGAATCAATCGCGAAATTTCACGTCGCTGTTGAACCCGAGCTACTTGCAAAACGCACAGCAAAATGCTGCAACTGCAAACGCGGCCGCCGCTGCAGCGGCTGCAGCCGCCGCGGTCAGCGCTGCGATTGCAAATGGTACCCAGCTAAACGCCAATTCCTCAAATACAACGACGAACAATGTCAGGAAACGCGAAGCGGAAAGTATGCAGTATACAGTTCGTTTAATATATCATATGGTTTTACATAGCCTGTTACTATCCATTGTGCTGTGTGCTGTTTGTTGGTTGTCCTTTACATATATGTATACAGACCTTTGAAAAAACGAAAAGTATAGTAGGTGTAAAGAAAGAAAATCTGTTCAAATTCACGAAATTCGAATTTCTTTAACAAATTTATGGTACAGCCTTGATTATTAAAATAGTTAGCATTCTTAATTATAGTCTTGTTTGCTGTTTATCTAGTAACTCGCAAGTACAATCACGATAGAAACTTGATGGCATTTTCAGACATTGTCAACTTCAAAAAAAACTTTGCTCCAGCTAATAGTTCTTGTATTGACTGGATCAAGCGGTAATCTCTCTCAAGATACAAGCATTTTCGCTATAATGAGATGTTCTCAAATATTACAATAAAGAGGATCTAAACATGATATATCCATTGTGAAAGATGTTAATTATGCTTGAATAATTTGAAAATATTTTAGGTGACGGTAAACAGGAAAAAGAGACGAAAGAGGAACGTAGGAAGAGGAGGAGAACTAGATGGGGTGGTAGCGAACATGACAAAACATTTATACCTGGCATGCCTACAGTTCTCCCAACAAACCTGACTCCTGAACAGGAGAAGGCTTACCTCTGTAAGTTTATTTTCTTTTCATTTGTGTAGTTGTTGTTTCCATTTAATTACTTTTTTTATATGAATATATGTATGCGCACATGTATGTATATACATGTATGTATATATGATTACACATATACGAGCAGGAAACGATATAAGAATATCTCGCTTCTGCATATAAGTTTCTGAAACCAAATTTATAGTACTATAAAAGATGTAAGTATGTATGTATGTATGTATGTATGTACGTATGTATGTACGTATGTATGTATGTATTGCTGAAGTATATAGCTGTCAGAGGTAATTGATTTTCTTTTGTTTTTTAAATAATTTCAATACATAATTTATGGCAATAGGAATTGCCAATTTTGCTGGACAAGAACAATTACAGAAATTCTTAGTGTAGATTAATTCAGCAGATTCTGACACCTGTTTTTGAATGCAACATATAATCGCAGCAACATATAATAGCAAACATAAACGCTAGAGAAATATATTTTTGTACCTTATTAAAAAAATAAAATAAAAGGAACAAATGTATATATTTTACTGGAACATTTACCTCATGGAAATTGTTAGATATAAGGAACTGTTCTACACCTTTGACACATGCTTACATTATAGAATGTATATGGCTATGGCAAATTGGCAATATCTCTAACTGTTGGGGTTTCCGCCCCCTCTAACCCGTTGGTTTACAGTTCAGCTGCAGATCGAGGAAATCAGCAGGAAACTACGCACTGGAGACCTTGGAATTCCACTTAATCCTGAGGAAAGGTTTGAAAGAAACTTACATACCAAAAATGACCGTTACATATCTACAATACCTATCTACTGACCATTCAGCAGCCCATAAATACTGGGGCCTTATGATTTGGCTCCAATACAATTAGTGTGGAATACTGATGTCTGTTTGAAAAGATTGGGCTTGATTTAAGCCACCATGCAGCACAGAAGATGAATTTTGATAATATTGGTTTGCCCTAATAAATTTATTTTACTAATTCATTTTTTAAACACTGCTACAAATGAAAATGTTTCTATTACGTTCGCATATGTCGAATTTTCTAATACGTAAAAAAAAGAAAAAGAAAAGAAAAAAACACTACTGATTTTCTTCACATATATAATACATGTATGTGCGTATATGTATATATAAATAAATTATAGTAGCAGTGTTTAATACGCAGTGGGTATTCTAGTCCATATATCTTCTAAATAGCTCTATTATTGCACATGTAGGGATATTTGAAGGTGTTCCTATGCAGTCCTATATCATTGAAGTTCATAGTAGTACAAATTAGTAGGCTCTATTCAACGATCAGATTTCATAGATCTATTTGAAAATGTTCGATTCTAATAAAATAATGGAAACTTGCGCATAGGATGCCTTGAGAAACACTTCTCCTAATTAGGCAGCCGTGACTTGCACGGTACTTTAAATCTTATTGTTTGTTTTGTTAATGGCCACAGGAATATCTGTATCATTAAGGAATTACGATAGAGTTTTTTCTCCTCTTAATGACAAGTTTAATGAGCAGATTTCAGGAAAATAATGAAATTGATCAGATGATAATTGCTATTATAGGCATAATACTATATAAAGATCAATCTTACGTTACTTTCAGGTTCGACTTTAACTAGATACACTTATTAATTTCTCTAATAAATTAATTTACTCCAATAGGTTTAACTTTTCTGATTTTAGCTGGAACCATTATTTTATATTATTGTGTTTCATTAGTATTATACATCATAGTAAGATATACAAGCTATTATTAACTAACCCAAAAAAATTGTTTCCTAATAATCACAGGATCTATCGTAGCAGCTGACATCATACCGATATCTGCCGTGCACAAACACGCAGTCTTCCAGTGGTTACCTACTACTGATTAGACATATATAGCAATCCTACAATTAACAATATATAATTTTTTATTCTTTGTTTCGATACCTCGGCATTGTTGGAAAACAAACTTTATACATTCTTAAATGTATAATTTTGGTGTATCGTACAATCAAACATTTTGAATTAGCAAACGCGCAATTGTTGAACTATCAAAGGTTCATCTTTAATGCTTAAACTGCTCTTGTTTCCCTCAAAACTCAAAATTATGACACATTGTACATTTGTATATAGATATGCCAAATGTATTATTTATTTTGGATTCTATTTCTATTTGACTTACTCGATGCAAAGGATAATAATAATTGTTTTGGATGTTGCATCGCAGACTATTCTTTTTCCAACATGGTCACAATGTATCTTATTTATAAGAGACAATATACAATATGTAAATGGAACAAACGATTAAAGCCAAATAATGTTGCATCGCAGAATATTTTTTTTTTTCCAACATGGTCACAATGTATCTTATTTATAAGAGACAGTATACAATATGTAAATGGAGCAAACGGTTA